CCCCCCCCCCGCGAGCCAGGGCCCCTGGTCCCAACTCATCAGGCCTGAGGCTCAGACTGCACGGCTGCGCGCCCCAGAAGCCGACGGGGGGCTCACCCCCTGCACTGGCCTCCCCTAGCTCCACCCAGAGGCCACCTGGGAGGCGCGACAGAGGAGTGGCCCTCGCGCGCCCCGCGTCCCGCGGGCTCACCGGGTGATCTTGGAGTCCCGGTAGGGGATGTGGCTGCCCCGGCGCTGGGGGTCGCCCAGGGCGCTGATGACGTTGCCCAGGGCCAGGAGGCTGCTGTTGATCTGGATGCTCTCCTTGAGGCGCTCGCCGGTGCTGCCCGTCTTGAGCACCCTCTCCGAGCCCGCCAGGTCCACGAAGTGGAACTTGGAGACGAGCAGCTGGCCCGCGGCGGGGCGGGGCAGGCGGCTGGGGGCGCGCCCGCGCTGCTCCAGGGTCACGGTGAAGACCGTGTGCGAGCGGCTGGACAGGCGGTTGAGGTGGGTGGCCCCCGTGTGCCGCGCCGCGTTGCCCATCTCCAGGACGCTCAGCACCTCGTCCAGGCCCTCGACGGCCACTTCCTTCACCCCGCACAGCACTGCGGGGCGCAAGGCAGTGAGCCCAGGGCGGCTCTTCCTGGCCCGGGGCCCCCTTTCCCTTCCCCGGGGCCCCTGCCCACCCTGATTTGGGCTGGAGGGGCTCCGGCTTCCCCCATGCCCGCCTCAAAGCCCCTCTTGGGGTGCACAGTATACACCCTGAGTCGGGGAGACAGGGGAGAGCAAAGCAAAGCTTTCCAGAGCTTGGGTGGACCAGGCCAGTGTCCCTCCCAGACAGGCAGCCAGCCTCCAGCCGGAGAAGCGTCCCCAAGCCGGGTGGCCCCTCCGCTCCCCGGGGGACGGCCTGGGGTGTCCTCACCAACATTGCCACGATCGTCTTCCCGAAGCTGGATGTCGCGGCTGGCGGTGCCCACCTCGAGCAGGTCTCGGAACTCTTCCTTGTAAACCTCCAGGTAGGACACGTGCACGAGGCAGTCGAGCAGGTCGTTTTCATCGATGAGCTTGAAGGCCTCGGCCATGACCCGCGGGATGATGCCCTGCTCGTCCTCGTGAAGGGAGGCTAGGGAGACACGGCGCCCCCAGCTGGAGATCCAAGGCCCCGGGGCCCCTGCCAGCAGCTGGAGGATGGGGCTCCAGGATAGAGGAGGCCGCCGCGGAAGCCGGGATGGGTCGTCAGGCAGAGCCATAAAATCTCAGAGTTGGAAGCAACCTCTCGTGGCTCAAGCAACCCCTTTCATGATATCAACATCCCCCCACGACATTCCTGCCAGATCCCCAGATACTCTTGGCTTGATTACCCCCCGGGTACGGGGAGCTCATTACCATAGTCTATGCTGTTAACTAAAGGACCTCCTAAATTTATCCCAAAGAAGTAATAAGAGGATGTTCAGAGCAGCCCTCCTCCTCATAACTACAAACAAACATCCTAAGCATCCATCCCAAGACCCAACAGGGAGATCTGCTTAAATAAATTATCTTATACTCACAATGGAATGCCAGGGGGCCGTGAAAAAAATTAAATTGAAGAGTATTTCATGACATAGAGGCATGTGTATGATATATTGTTCAGAAAATAAAACAGGGTACAAAAAATTGGGTACAACATTTTCTTAAAAAGTATAGCATTTCCAAAGAGAAAGAAACTGGAACCCTAACAAGCTGCGTGATTTCTAAATGGCAGCTTTATTTCTGTGTGCTTTTCTGTATTTTTCTAATTTTTTATGACAAACACTTACACTTTTATAACCCAAGAGAAAACATTCATACCATTTAAAATGGGGCAGTTCCCTCAATTGGCCCGAAGTCTCTCTCTCCCAAAAGTCTGCTCCAGAGCCTCCTGGAACCAGCCCGCGGCCCTACTATGTGGCAGCCGGAGCACGTCTCTTCCAGGACAGTCCCTGCTCTGACACCCTGACTAGATCATGGATTCCTGACCGTCCTGACAACCTGCAGAGACCAGCCAACTCCCGCCGAGGTCCCCAAAACCAGACAGCGTGGCCCTGCCTCTGTGCAGTTGACAAGGCCCCTTCCTCCCGGCCCTGCCCAGCCCACTGACATGCATGGTCCCACCCCGGGCTGCCGATCTGTTCAGGAAACTGCTCCCCCTCCCCCAGCATCCCCACTTTCAACCGGGATCGGCAGCAAGAGGGCGGGGGCACAAAGGCAGGAGCCACTGAGGCCCCTCCAGGCGGGCACGGGACAGGGCCACTCACCCACGCTGGCCTCCCCCATGGTGTACGTCTTCCCGGAGCCCGTCTGCCCGTAGGCGAAGACCGTGGCATTGAAGCCTTCAAAGAACGCCTCCAGGAGGGGCTGCACGCAGGCCTGGTACACGGCCTCCTGCCCCGAGTCTTCGTGCAGCACCACATGGAATCCAAAGTGGCGATCCCGGCCCAGGGTGACCCGGCCGTGCTCCGGCTCCACCCTCAGGCAGCTCTGGTGGCCATGCAGCAGCTCCTTGGGCAGCAGCGGGCGGACTCGCAGGGCCACCCTCACCGGGGCATCCTCAGCCCCTGGCAGCCTCTGCGCCTCCAGCCCCATGTTGAGGGAGGGCTGCTCCAGGCCCTGTGGAGAGGAACAGGACCCCCCGCCATCAGCACCTGTGCTCCAGGGGCTGGACTCACCCTGCAGGTGACCTGGAGCCCGATCCTGCAGCTCCTGACCTTGGAGGGATGGAGGTCAAAGTTCAGAGCCTTCTCTGTACCCCAGGGACTGGAGCCCAAATGCTGCGAGGGCCACCCTACAGTCCTATACAGCCACATGTCACGGCTCTCATTACCGGCAAAATAAGGGCCTAACTCCTTCCCTTGCCACCCAAGGGCTTGTGTGCCAGCGGCACCCTTCCCCTGTGCCCCCGCCTCCTGGAAGTCACCCTGTCCCCACTGGGTTTTCCAGTCTCTGCCTCTGTCACATCACACTCCCTTTCTTCAAAAAAAGTCAACAGATCCCTCGGTTCGTTGCGAGACCCCCAGCGGACGCCAGAAACCAGGGACAGTACCGAACCCTGGATCTACTGTATTTCCCTTTGCATACATACCTGTGATAATTTACAAACTAAGCACAGTAAGAGGTTAGCAACAGTACAATAGACCATTTTAACCATATATTGCAATAAAAGTGATGTGCGCCCGGCCAGTGTGGCTCGGTGGTTGAGCATCGGCCTATGAACCAAGAGGCCACGGTTGGATTCCTGGTCAGGACACATGCCGGGGTTGTGGGCTCCTGGGTCCCCAGCAGGGGGCGCGCAGGAGGCAGCCGAGCAGTGACTCTCTTTTATCATCGATGTTTCTCTCTCTCTCTCTCTCTGAAATCAATAAAAACATATTTTAAAAAAAGTTACATCTATGTGGTCAATCCGCTCAGGGGGTCCCTGGCTGAAGTCCTTCTCCAGGCCCAACAAGTTGCCTCAGTGCGGGTTTTCATTCGTGTCTCCCACGCACCCACTCGGTGCCTTTTCCACCCTAAGGCGCGCTCCTCGCGCACCGTGGCCGAAACTACCAAACTCCTTTTTCCTTCCCAATTTCACGGAAGATTCGAGATGACTGCACACCTCCCACCTAAAGCATTCCATTTCCATTTTATTTTATTTTTTCCTGTGCCGTCGGGGGCGTGTGTGAGGCTCGCGCTCCTGTCTTGAGCTTCTCTCCGCGCCTGCAGCGGTTTTCTGGTTCATGAAATCACTCCGTCCCCGCGGGGTGCCCGGAGCTGGGGGGCACAGCGGTCCCGGCCCCGCTCACCCTGAACTTTTTTTTCAGCTCCTTGGGGGTTCCCGCTTCTCTGCGCCCCGAACCGTGCGCCCGGCACCGAAGGCCGGGGCTCCGGGAAGTTCGGAAAAGTGGCCACAAAGGCAGAGCCTCGCCTCGCAGCCCGGCCAGGCCCGGGGTGTCGGCCCCCCGACTCCCCGACTTAGGGAAGGGGGGCTCCCCGCGCGCCGGGAAGGGCCCCCTGGAGGCTGGGACGCGAGGATGGGCTCCCCTGGGGCGCCGGCTCCCAGCGCTCGGCCCGCGCACCCTCCCGGGCCCCC